TGTTCATTGTGCACACTGTATACTGTACTTACAGCATTGATTATGAAATAAAGGTCAAAGTACATGCAGTTATTGCCTGTAAATTTCTCTTTACTACATACACTTATTTCATAGTCAGGATTTTTCTGGACTGTTTTAGTTGTCTTGGTGAAAAAAAATCATCATTGGCAACAACAATTTCTGGAAAATATGCCAAATTGATGACCAATACAGGATTTGACAATAATTAACTTAGATTTCCTTTGACTACTAAATCACAAGGTTGCTGTTCAATACTTTTAATACGCAAATTCTTCTTGGTAAATTAAAAAGGCTTAAAGCATTCTCGAATTGCATGCAACCTGATTTCTAAAACAATAAAGACAATGTAAATGAGGACATCACCAAACTATTAATGGTTAGATATGGTGCCTGCTGAATGCTACTTTTTTTAATCCTACAGTAAGAGACATTCTTTTTACAAATTATGCTGTATCCTTGTAGCATTCAGTTATATCAAATCATACATTACATGTATTGACAATTGTACATTAAATGAAAATTATGGCTTTATAAGTCACTCAATAAATTTATATCCTGAATGATTATCAAAGAGATGGTGTTGTAGACACTTACCAGGAGGCTTTGGAGCTAAAGGGGAAATGAAATGTGAAAAGATGCTTAATTAGTGTTTTAAAGAATAAAAACTGAGACATGCGACAGGGTGCTGACAAAATGCTAAATCAATTAAGAGCAAGATGGTAGCCTGGTGAAAACATGACGGTATACGACATTACAGCATTGAAACAAGTCATGCATATGTAAAACAAATCCAACATGATAAGTCCCCCATAACTGCAAGTAAAAAAAACAACAACAAATTTTAACTCTCTCTCAGGGAATCAAGAAGTCTCCTCAGGATATGGAAAAAATCTCCTGGTCTCCCAAAATATTGGATATCACTTCTAATCAGTTTTCCTGAGTAGATACCACTGAAAGTTCCAGATATTTCCTTACTTATTTGGCTGATTCACATGGAATTTTAGTTACCTTTTAACTTCTTGCATGTATGTTTTTAACAGTTTTTTTAGTGGGGTGGTGGTGGGGGAGGGAAGGGGTTGTCCACCTTTTTTCTTCTGGGTCAGCATTAGTAATATACATGTACCTTGAGTTCATTGAAAATTTATACTTTTGATTTCTGGATTTAGACTAAGATGCTTGTACAACTATACAAATTTTGCTATTATTACAGCTTATTTTTAATTTTACAAATTAACTTAAAGTTTGGTTTCAGTTGCCTTAAAAATACAACATGATAGCATTTAACTCACTTGTTGGCACAACAGGAGGCCTGGGTGATGTGGTAACTGGTTTTGTTGTCACTACTACACTTGGTTTTGTTGTCGTTTTAAAAGGAGGAGTAACAGGAGGTGGTTTCTTTGTAGGTCCTGGAGGTTTTGTTGTAGCAGGAGGCTTTGTTGTACCAGGATATTTTGGTTTTGTTACTGGAGGGGGAGGTTTTGATGTTACAGGGGGTGGTTGTACTGTAGTTGATGTTTTCATCGTAGGTGTAACTGGTGGAGATGGCGGCTGGGAGGGCATTGTAGCCGTCGTGGTTGGGGGTGGTGCAGCTGTTGGTGTTGTTGTTGCAACTGGAGGGCATGGCACAGGGCACTGTGCTGGGCATGGTTGTGGAACAGGACAGTTCGGGGGAATCACGCAAGGTACACATGGTGGTTGAGTAACTGGTGGAGGTGACGGCTTGGAGGGAGTTGTAGCATTTGTGGATGGTGGTGGTGCAGCTGTTGTTGTGGTTGTTGGTACTGGAGGCGATGGCTTGGAGGGTATCGTAGCCGTTGTTGTTGGTGGTGGTGCGGGAGTTGGTGGTGGTATGGCTGTTGTTGTTGTTATTGTTGTTGTTGTTGTTGACACTGGAGGGCATGGTGCAGGGCATTGTGTTGGGCATGGTTGTGGAACAGGACAGTTCGGGGGAATAACACAAGGTACACATGGTGGTTGAATAGGTGGATTTGGTTTGCTAGTTGCTATTGTCCCATTATTCCCTCGCATACATTGTGGCCATGATCCAGGCTTAGGAAGGTGCACACCTAAAAGGAAAACAACGTAAAAAAGCACGCAAGGTCAAGAGGAAGGCAAACCGCACATTTTATAAGATTTGAACTCCATATTTCATTCACGAGATTTATGTTATATTAGCCACTTTAAGATTATCATACAACTTTACATCTCATCAAAAAAATAAGGACTCGAATAGCATCTTTGTCGTGACCTCGTTCTCGGTATTCTTTATTTTTAAATGTGATGATCTGTCCATTTACCTGCAGTATACTATAAAGTCTATAAACTTACAAGTAGTTAACTGAGCTGAGTTAAATAAATAAATTTTGATTTCATTTCATTTAAAACGCACTGACATATGTAAATGCGATGGACCAAATATTGGGCCTGAATTCTTTAATCGCTACTAATCTTTTTCGCTATCGCACAAAGAAACTTAAAGCTCAACTTAAACCGATTTGCACGTCAATTTTGCGCGATCACGAAAATTCTCACGTTTACAATATGCGACTATGAAACCCACAACAATTCGAATAATTAGGATTCCTTTACGCTAAAACTGGTTAGTTATTTAGAGAGACAGTTTTTTTATCGCTTTTTGAAAACTAATACTGCAAATAAATGACCAGAACACGTTACCTCATGTTTTACGGCCGGTTTCCANTTATGGCTCCTGGCTAAGGTCAAAATAGGACGAAAGAAGGAACGTTCTAAAGGCAGTCCCATAGACTGATTGTCTGTTTCTGATTTGGCTTCTTCGCTTACGCGCAAAACGCTTGTACAGAAGCAGCCAACTTAGAGTCATGCTAAGTGCGGACCGGGGGTAAAATGCAGACTGAGCGTGAAATGTAGACTACAGACCAGGGGTAAAATTTAGACTGCAGACCTTAGAATTTTTAACTGAATCGTGTTACTCTTTCCAGCGTTGAGAGCTGGCCGTAAACAGGCTAACCGGAGCGTTGTTCAGGCCGAACCTGAGTGATGTTCAGTCTAGCCGGAGTGATATTCAGGCTAACCGGAGAACAGAATTCCACTGCGATTAGTCTGAATAATCCTGTCTACGGTCAGCACTCGATAATGAAAATAACACGACATATACTTCAAAACTCTGTAGTCTGCAGTTTGCATTTTACCCCTGGTCTGCAGTCTGCATTTTACCCCCGACATTTATGACCATATGCAACGTCCTTAAAAATAATGAAAACAACAACAACAACAAAAAAAACAGGCTACACACCTGTACTGTCTTCACACATACAAGCCAGTTCTCTGATTTGGCTCTGCGTCAAAGCTGATGTGTAGATATACACCTCGTCCACTGCACCCATCAGAAATCTTTGTCCTTTGTGACTTCCAATGCCTGCCCTCTCGCTCCAGTCCTGTGCCAAATACCCCGAGCCGTAACCTTGGACTGCTAACTGTGTATTCACGTATACTTTGGCCAATCCTGAGTATTAAAAAAGAACAAAACACGCAATATTATTCCTTAATAGCATAATAATCTCTAAATATAAGAGGACTTACTCACATTCCGTCGGCCGAAAGTTCAGCCGACTGTTTAACAGACAAACAATTGATTTAGAAACAGGGCTTCAATTGAAAACTAACTAACTGGCCGAAGCAAAACTTCGACTAGTCTTAAATAATAAAGCGCTTTGCATGCGGAGCGTTTTTGCTTAATCGATGCAATTTTTTTTTTTTTTTGCTTATTCGATTCACTTATTCAATGCTTCAGAAAGGTTTTCAGTTGTTGCTTTCGAAAATGATTGTTTGATTCAAATTGCTTAAAAAGTCGAAGAGGAAGCCAATCAACCAATCAAAGCAAAGCTTTTTTCCTGCCAATCTGATTTAAGATCAGAACTGTGGATTCAGACGTCTTTTCCTCGCGCTTTCCCGCGCGTGACACATCTCGTAGTGTTCTAACCAATTAATTGCACGGTATAGGTCTTAAGCCGTGATTGGCTGTGTAAGTTGGTTATCTTTGTCAGTTATTTACAACAGTACAGTAAGATCTTTCATATATTCACTTTTTGATCTTCACTATCTTGGGGAATATTACGAACTCAACATGTAACCAGCGCCCAGTTGGCTTGATAGCTCAGATGGTAGAGCACTGTACCGGTATCGCAGCTGGGTTATGGGTTCGAATCCCATTCAGCCTTAAATTTTACAACTGCTTAAGTTGTGTTTATAACTTCGATGATCAATCATGTTTTCCAGTAATTAGCTAAGAAGCCGCTTCTTGAAAATAGAACAAAAGCTAACCTTGCTTTTTATCGTATGTGCCAACAAGATGCGTCCATTGATTCGGAGGAACTACCACCAGTGCTGTAACAACATTGAATATCACACTGCCATCTAAAGCACGCGTAAACCACCGCACTTTTCCATCTACGACCTCAAAGTGATAGTTTCCTTTGTGCTCAGGAGATTGTGCAGCGATAACGTCAAAAAGAGACTGTCTCCCCGCTGTTGAAGATAACTTCACCCACATAGCAATTGTTACAGCGACACTGGGCTTTGGAAAGAACATTCTTCCGTTGAAAGATACATTGCCGTTAGAAAATATACCCACCTCGCCGCACGCTTGTGGCAATGGAGCTAGATCGACGTTATTTATTTTGCCATTGTTTGACTTTTTGGACGTGTCCAGGACGAATAGGCCCGAGTGTCGATCAAAAGGTAAGTGAAGAGCTAATAAGTATGCCACAGGAGGACCAACCTGCGAAGGAGGCAGGGGCTTCGTAGGCGGAGGTGGGACCGGTTGTGGCGCTGGCGAGGGTTTTGGCATAGGGGGTGTAACTACCGATGGTTTCACTGAAGGAGGGACATGGGCGGGAACTGGGGCAGGCTTTACTGGAACAGGAGGTGGCCTGGGAACTGGACGAGGCTTGAAACCTTTCGGTGGGCACTTAGACTTTGCATCATAAGGAACTGAAAAGCAAAAGTAAGAAAAATGTGGAAGATATGAATAAACTGAGTTAGACGATGGTAAATATCTGATATCTTAAAAAAAAAAAATTGTTTAGACGCAAACAGTTTTGAAGACGTGACCATGATAAGCGAGTAAGACCACTAAATAATAAACTTTCAAAGAGGACGTTTTTTTCTCGACGGGATTAAAACATCTGGTTTCAAAAGGCTGCGTTACGTAATAATAACTAAACTACTGAGGAAGTTTTAGAATGACTTAGTATATTTGCTTCACCATTAAGTTTCACTGAACTTAAATTTATGAAACGTCAATTCGTCGAACTTGTCACCCCAAGAAAAGGGAGGGCCTGAGGACTACCCCGATATACATTGCATTAACGATGTTTTTTGAGCATTACCGTCTGGTTTCGTATGGTGAAATTTCCAATGGGCTAATGCCTTCTTGTTGGCTATGCAGTCTCCTTAGTACTACTTAACCATCTAACTGCTGTCATTGGCACCATGCTGTCTCATTCTAACACAATTTTACATCTGTTAAAACTATTATGAGAAATAGATAATTTTGCAGTTGCTGCTCAGTGACCTGGCCTTTGAGTGGCAACGAGGCTGGAGGTGACGTTGGTTTGATACAGACCTAATTGCTTTTGTTGGGTAAATCAAGTCATATAATGCTAACTAGTTTGCATTTAAATATGGAAAGCAGAGAGGTTTGTATCAAAGCAAGGTCACCTCTAGCCGCGCTTGCATTCATATGCCAGGTAATTAAGAACACAACCATAAATTGGCCTATTAATTAAAATCATAAATAGTTTGAGCAGTTACCTATCAAATGTAATGATTGCGGGATGACTTGACGTCTATGTATCGTTTTCTTGGACACAAGATGATCTCTCAGTGTGGCCAGTGGATCCGCGACAGGTTTACGAAAAGATATCACAAAGAATAGTTCGATGATATAAGGTCCGTTAGCCATATAGGGATTCTTCGTTTTCCTGGAAATAAAAACAGTGTCACCATGCTTGAAAGTTTAACAATGATAACACGGCTAACCGGTGAAGGTTTGATTCCGGTCGGGAACTCAGCTCTTTTTCACTTTGTTCGATGCTCGTCAAAACTGAACTCAATCTCTGCTTGGTAACGGCTGTTTATTTAATGCTGGAGAGAGACATCTGGAGCTAAGAAGAACAATAAATGTTTCCTTACCTAATACCAGTAAGACGAGTTGACACAAAGTCCGGGTGAACTCCTTTGTAAATTCCGATAATCTGAAACGACACAATTTCAAAAGAAATTGAAAATTAGAACCAAGTTTCTCTCAACTTATGTTCTAAAAAAAATTTCTGCAGTCTATACGCGCAATGAAGTTGTTTGACTTCCAAATCACAGACAGACCTATCAGTCTGTATATCAGTCTGTAGAAGAATTCATTATTGAATTAATATCATTCTTCCTTACCCCCTGGACAATCTCTTTGTTGAGTTGCTTGAGATAGAGCTTGGATTTGTCTGTTAGTTGCTCATACCATACTTGACCCAGCAATAATGAGACACAAGCGTCTTTGGTGAAACCTGCCAGGTTGTCAAAAACGATACCGAAAATATGTAAAATATTACTCTCTTTAGTTTGTATTGAAATGAAAGAACAATGGACATTTTGAATAACGCTAATCATTAGTTTAACCTTACTTTCTCGGTCACAGTTTTACGATTCGCAAACTTAGCAAGGTCCCTGAGAGATTTCATGTAACCGAAGTAACGCNAACAATGGACATTTTGAATAACGCTAATCATTAGTTTAACCTTACTTTCTCGGTCACAGTTTTACGATTCGCAAACTTAGCAAGGTCCCTGAGAGATTTCATGTAACCGAAGTAACGCGCAGAAAGTCTCAACTGCGATTAAAAATAATTTCCATATCCATTGGTTTCGAAAGTCGAAGCTGATGAAAGAGAAAGTTAAGCAATAAATACAGAAAACTGAGTTAGTATAAAATGGTTAAAGTTTCGTGTTTCTGACTGTGTCACTGACACAAAAATTGTTTTGGAAATTCGCCAAACTGAAAAATCCATCGCCTCAATCTACTCGAAAATGCCACTTATCGATATTCTACTCTTTGCAGTATATTACTTATGTTTGTCACATGAATCTAGTTTAAAAGCAAGGTAGCTCGGTGTTAGAACATCTGATTTGTAACCAAATGGTCGTGACTTGTACTCAAATCTTTGAACGTACCTACAGGGAACGTTGGACGGGGTGGTGTTGGTTTCGGTTGTGGCTTTGGTTGTGGCTTTGGTTGCGGCTGAGGTTGAGGTTGAGGCTGTTGTGAACATCCCTGTTGGTTTGGTCCCGCTGCCGCTGTTCGGTTGTCAGGGCAACACCCATACAAAGTAACTTGACAGTAAACGTGATGCACGGGTGGTGCAGGTTGCTGCGGCTGCGGCAGCGGTTGCGGTTGCGGCTGAGGTTGAGGTTGGAGTTGAGATGGAGGTTGCGGCTGCGGTTGCGGTTTCTGCTGCGGCTGCGGTTGCGGTTTCGGCTGCGGCTGTGGTTGCGGTTGCGGTTGCGGTTGCGGCTGCGCTTGCGGCTGCGGCTGAGGTTTAGGATGAGGTTGAGGTTGAGGTTGAGGTTGAGATGGAGGTTGCGGCTGCGGCTGAGGTTTCGGCTTCGGTTGCGGCTGCGGCTTAGGTTGGGGTTGCAGTTGCTGTTGTTGTGAACATCCTTGTTGGTTTGCTCCCGTCGCTGCTGTTTGGTTGTCAGGGCAACACCCATACAAGGTAACTTGACAGTTTGGTGGGGTGGGTGGGGTAGGTTGCGTGGTAGCTGCAGGTGTCGATGATGACGAGGGAGAGGTTGGAGTGGTTTGAGGTGGCGCGCTTGTGGCATTTGCTGTTGAATTAACAGAAAATCAAAGAACTTAGAGTCTGTGTACATTCGCTACTATTCCATAGCATACAATGTATATGTGCACCATTTAAAAAGCAATTGAATCATAAGCAGTGAAATACATGTGATGAAATGCGCTGATTGGGTTGCACTGCAGTCGAGACCAAAGGCATAAATTTGTTGACTGCAAACAAAAATAATAAATAAACAAATAAATAAACAAAAATACACATCTATACCTCTGCAAATTGGCGTCAGTCTATTGACCCTCGTCCCAGGTACCTCGCTGCCGTTGGTTTGATTCACACACCAGCAGTCCGTTTTTCCACTGGCTGGGTAACTGTAGCACTGAACCTCTTTATAGAGCCCAGATTTTTCGCACTCGGGTACAAATATATCAGCCGCGCCGGAACTTTTTGCTTTCTCCTTATCCTTTTGGCATTGAGAAAGCTCCTGTGGCTTTACTGCGGAAGCTACAGGTAGTGCGTGCTGGTACTTCTGTGGTGGACAGCCTTCCATATCCGGGCCTTTAGCGAAAGTCACATTGTCATGGCAACAGCCATAAGGACCCAGATTACAGCTCGGTACATTTGTAGCGTTTGCGTGAACTAAACCTGGAACAGAGGAAATATGATGGCGATGAACACTATGACAAAACTAATGATAATGACTTTTGCTGAACTCGCTTGCAACACAGAGCAGATTACGGCTGTATCGTGAAAGAGTTGTCAAGAAGCTAAGCTACTTGTAAATTGTTTTTTAATTGATTGTTCGGGGGGTTATTTTGACTTAAAGTGGAACTGCTAGGCTTACTAACTCTACCTTTCGACACACGACACTAAAATGATCTTTGTGCAGAGCTGCAGAAGAGCGATATTCGTGAAACAAGTGTGTGGTGAAGCTGCCAACACTTTCTCAGACTAACGATAAAAATATGTCGAATTAGCCATGGCCATACAATTTTCCCAGCTGTTTGCAACAAAAGAAGACTGTAGGCCTATAGGCCCGCAACATGTGCAGAAAATTAAGTAGTTACTATTGTTGCTGAGGAATAGACCTTTTCACAGTTGTCTGCTCAGTGACCTCGCCTTTGAATGGCAGCGAGGCCACAGGTGACTTTGTTTTGGTGAAGATCTCACTGCTTTTGTTGTGTAAATCAAGTTTTTCTTATGCTTACTAGTTGGCATTCAAATGAGAAAAGCAGACAGGTCTGTATCAAAGCAAGGTCACCCCTAACCTCGCCGTAACTGAGCACACAACTGTAAAATGGCCTGTTGCAGAAATTACTTGTCTGTTTACACTCACCACATTCTGGGGCGGTACCATTGTCTAGTCTCGTTCCTTTGATTTCCTGTCCCGACGAATCCACACACCAGCATTGTTTACCGTAAACATCGTGCTCAAAACACTGAAGAGGAACAAACATTCCTTCCGCGTCGCACAAAGGCACAAAGATATCAGTGATGAATGGAGAAAGAGCGATGTCTCTTTCTTTCTGACACTGGGTTTTTGAATTTCCTGTAATTTAGTTCAAGAGCAAGTATTACTTACAGATGATGGTCCCGATGCCCTTTCTCTATTTAACGTATCCATTAGCGCATGACACAGTCTATTTGTTGATTTTTTAAACATAGAGAAAACTGTTTTACCTCGCTTTAAAATTGACTAATTTTCCTTAGTTACCAAGACTGTGTGCAGGTTACCATTGTATTATCTCACTTACATACTCTGTTTTTAATTTAGACTGACTCAACAAGATTAGCTTAGCTAATTTAGGTTCAGTCCTATGTATATAGTCTAACGGGTCTTCAAGTTAAGAAGTTCCGTAGTCATTGTAGTTTTTGTTGATGGAAATCGTCTTCTTACAAACCTACCTGTTTTAGTGCCGTTTCGTATTATTTGTATTTCAACTTCCATCGTTTTCGGTTTTTGAGGTGGTGATTCTTGTTGTGGTTGAACTGGCTCATCATGATGTTGTGGTTTCAACGGTGTCCCAGGTTCTTTTGTGATGGGCTCCTGCCCTTCATCGTGATGTTTCTCCTCATTTCTGACAGCAGTAGTGCAGTTGGGTGTCTGTCCATCTGACATCCGGGTTCCTTTTATTTCCTGGCCGTCACCGGTCACACACCAACACTGCTTAGCGAATCCTTCATGCTCAAAGCACTGCATATCCGAGTAGCTGCCATCTTGTTTGCATTCAGGAACAAATGCATCATCCATCGTCTTTGCCATCTGACGCTCTAGTTGACATGATGTTTCTGCAAGAGTTTGTGTTGCATGGTCCAGTTTATTCCGTATTTAGGTGACAAATGCAGTGCGTTCACAGTTTATTTGTAAAACGTATGTTCTGAATCAGTTACGGTGTTTGAACCGTTTGATACACTACACCGGAGGAATTTGAAAACACCGGCTTTCGCTTTCGTGTGGACAGATAACATTTTGAAAATGGAGCTGTTTGGAAACGATGATCTCAAGATTATTATGGGATTTCCCTGCCCGAGTTTTTTAGAACACAAATCGAAAATGGCCGCTTTTTGTTGCGTTTTTAAATTCCTCCGGCGTAGTGTGGACGGAAAACATTTTATGCGTTTTCAGAGTTCCTCCAGCGCGGTGTGGATGGGATCTGAATGGAAACCGAGAGGATGAATTTACAAGATAAAGTGACAAGTGTTACTTCAGTTCACTAAAATAGTCACAGAGTAGTCAAATATTTAAGGGAGGAGG